GCGGCGGCGGGCGGAGCCTCCCCGCCGCTCGCCCCTCCGCCCGGCCGCTGCGGCAGTGTCTCGGAGGCGGGCAGGCGGCCGGTCCCTCCGGTCCCCCGGCAGCATCCCGGCCCCGCCATGGCTGGCGTCGGCTTCGCGGCGCACCGCCTGGAGCTGCTCGCCTCCTACCAGGACGTGATCGGCGAGGACAGCCCCACCGACTGGTGAGCGCGCCCGCCGCCGCCGCCGCCCCTTTGTCCCCGCCGCCGCCGCCGCCCTTTGTGCACGGAGCCGCCCGGTAACACCGGCCGCGCCCCGAGCTGCGCCCCCCGCCGTCCCCGGGAGCCCCGGCACACAAAGGCGGGCGGGGCGGCGGGGGGTGTGCCCGGCTCGCCGCCCCCGGTGCCCGCACCTGCCCGCCGCACCGGGCCGGGGCGCGGTCCCCGCTTTGTCTGCGCCGGGCCGGCACGTGCGAGCGCCGGGACTCCCCGGCACGGCCCGGTGCGACCCCCAGCCGGGCAGCGAGAGCGGGGAGCGGGGGAATTCGCGCACGGCGGGGAGGGCCCCGTGGGGCTCCCCGCTGCTGGGCCCGGCACCGGTTCCTCGCCATTGTCTGGAGCAGGAGCCGCGGGCAGGGGCGCCCGGGGAACGGGGGATGGGGAGGGGATCGGGGCGCCCGCAGCCCGGCCCCGCTCCCGACCGGTCCTGCTCCCGACCGGCTCCGCCGGGATCCCGGCAGCGGCGGCCCCGCTGCCCGGCGGAGCGAGGCCTGAAGCCGCGGGGGCACCGAGCATCTCCCGCCGCTCCCGCTACCCTCAGATTCCCCCAAGCTCCTGGGCTGCCACATCCCTGGGGGGTCGTGGTGTGTCGGCCCGGGGTTTCCCCTCCGGGCTGGGGTTGCTGTTGAGTCGGGGAGGGGAGTGGCTCTCTCCGCTGGGACCCCCGGCTCCTCTCGCTGCCCGCGGGGCACCCGGTGTCGGCGCCGGCTGGATCCAGGCCCGCTGCAGGGAGCATCACCCTCTGCCAGCCCACCCGCATCTCCCAGCCCAGCCGGGCGCCGGGAGGCTGGCTGGGGCCATCTGCCCCGCGATCCCCTCCCTGCCCTCCAGGGTGCCTCTGGCATGCTGGCTGAGAACGCTGCCGGCACGCTGGGGCGCATCTCGCTGGGCAGAGCCGGGGCGCTGGACAGTGCTGGGTGCATGCTGTGAGTGATGCTTTTGGTGGGGGGCGGACGGAGGGGAGCTACTGTGCGCCCACCATCCAGCCGGGGGCATCGGCCGCCCCTCCGGGATACACCCACCACCCATCCGGGGACTCCCACCTCCCAGCTGGGCTGCACCCACAGCCCAGCCGGTCAGACGTCTACCTCAGACCAGGTCCCTGCTCTCAGGACAGGGCTGTGCGGGCCTGGGTAGGTCCAGGTCTCCGCCAGTCCCCGGGGGGCTCCGGAGGGCCCCGCAGTCCCGCGGTCAGCCCAGGGGCGCTGTGGGCAAGCGCCGTGTGTGTTGCCGGCCAGGCGGCAGCTGTCAGCCCTGGGTACATCTCGCTTCCCGGCATCCGCTGCAAAGGAGCCGTCCCTGCCAAAGCTGCTGAGAGCAGCAGAATCGGTTCCCGGGAAGGCGAGTGCCGGTGGCGGCTCCCCCACACACACCTCCAACGCTGATCCCGGCCAGGCAGTGATCCCCTGCCATCCCCATCCGCGGGGCTGACTTTGCTCCATCGTCCCCAGCCGCTCCATCGTGCCCGGGCACCCCATGCCATTGTCACCGGAATACCTGGCGCTCAGTGCCCGCGGGAACAGCATCCCCTCTGCCGGGGTGCGGGATGAGGGGTGATGCTGGTGGGGCTGCATCGGGCAAGGTGATGGGGACAGTCCCACAGGGAGGAGGGCCCAGCCTGGCTGAGCCAGGGGGCTGCCTGGAAGGACACTGTGCCAGAGCCTGGCCTTGGGCCCGTACCGGGGAATGCCACGCTCATGCCCGGCCGGGATCCCTCTGTTTAGTCTGGGATTTCCCCTGCTCCAGCCCGGTCCTGGAGGGTCCGAGCATCCCCTCCCCCTGCCCGGCCCCGCGAAGGCTGCTGGGGCCCATTACTCGATCGGAAAGGAATTTGGTGCTGCTTTCTGAGCACGCCGACTCCCTGGAGCTCCCAGCCACATTGGAAACACATGTGCCGGGGCTGGGGCGGGAGGCTGGGGCGATGTGACCCTTCCCTGGCCATGGCATGGGGGGTGGGCTGCCGCGGGAGCCCCGTTCTGACTCCCGAGGATGCTGCTCTGCCTACTCCGGTGAGCAGCGGGGCCATGCGAGGGCAGCGGGGCTGCGATCGCTGTGGTTGGGGTGATGGGGATCCTCAGTGGAGCCCCCCGGCTGCAGGAGCCCCCCCCTTGGGCTGCACGGGGCATCTCCACCCACGGGTGACCCACATACCTGGAGCCCGGGGGTGGGAAAGGGCTGTATGGGTGGGGTGGAGGGATTAAAGCCCATGGAAGCGGGGTAAGCAGTGCATGGTGCTGACAGCACCCGCTGTGACACAGCTGGTCCCCACTGCCAGGGGTTGTGGTGGTGCTGTTGGGCTGTGGGTCCCTGGGGGTACCCCTGGGGATGCTACAGGCCCCAGCACTGCTTCCCTGTCTCCTGGAATGGAAACCTCCATCCTGGCATGGAGTCAGGCTGTGCTGCTGAGCTGTGTCCACAGCAAGCCCCATCTGCCCTGGGAGCACCCCCGGGTGCAGGCAGCAGCCTTGTGCCCAGATACCATCCGGCACGGCAGGGTTCTGGGAAAGGAAAGCAGGCAGTGGGTGCCCCCAGCACCCACAGGCTCCCCAGGCAGTGATGCTGTGGCTCTGCCCTACTTCTTTTCTCCTGCCTGCTGCCAGCTGCATCCCACCCTGCCAGCTTCCAGCTCGCTGCCCTGGGCTCCCCCAAACTGCTGCCGTCCTCCTCCATTCCGGGGGGATCAGGAGCTGCATTTGCCACCCTTCCCTGTCACAGCCATCTCAGACAGCACTTTGCAGCTGTTCCAGGCCTGGAAGCTGGCGCTGGCTGGGGCGGCCGATTAGCGGGATCGGGATGTGCGGATTAAAGTCAATCTTGTTGGTGCAATTATCTGCGGCTCCCTGCCAGGGGCTCGGGGGGCGGCGGGTGCTGGAGGCAGAGGGAGGCCCTCTCCCTCTTAGGCACCTGCCTGCCTTCCCCTTGCTTTTCAGCTCCAGCCACGGCCCTGTTTAGGGGGTGGCTGTGCCCGTAGGGACCCTCGATTCCCGCTCCCCAGGCTGTGGATTGAAGCTGCAGGCTCGAGCGAGGACGGCTTTGCTCGGCACAGCGGGGATTTTGGGGCTCAGAGAAGCGCCGTGCGGGCACCACCAGGCGAATGCCGATCGGCAGAGCCGCCCACCCGCGGCGGAGCAGGGCTGTGGGGGATCCAGCACGGGCGGCCCTGGCTTTCCGGGTGCAGCGCGTGACGGTGGCAGGCAGGTTTGGGTGCCTGCCAGGCCCCGCAGGTCCCCACTGCCTGCCTGCCTCCCCCGCTCCCCTCCACTAATCACCTCGTCATCGGGGCGAGCTGCATCCCAGCTGGGATGGGGGGGGTTGCCATGGTGATGGAGGATGCTGGTTGCCTAGCGACATCCATCCCCTCGCCCACCCGCCCTGGACCGATTTGGCATGCGTGGTCCCCCCTCCATGGCTGGCTGTGTGCCTCTGGGGAGGTGCTGGCTGGTGGGGGTCCCCGCGGAGCCCCCAGAGGGGCTGGCCAGGGCACGGTGGGAGCGACAGGGGGTTTCCCATCAGCTGGGAATGGTTTCCAAGGAACAGTCTCCATGACGGCCCCATCACACTCTGGCGGCTCATTGATTTGCTGCTGCTGGTGCTCCGGCGTCCTCCCCCAGCCTGGTGCCTGCTGGGCTGGTGGCTCACGCAGCCGGGCACGTGAGTGGGCCCGGGTCCTTGCTGGGGCACAGGGTTGTCCCCAAACCTGGTCAGTAGCTGGAAGGGTCGTGGGGGGACAGGGATGGGCCAGGAAGTTGCTGTGAGACTGTGTTGGCTTGCAGCACAGCAGTCGGTGGGTCCCTGTGCCCAAGTGACTATTCTGTCCCCAAACTTGGGACCCTTCCCCACAACTGCCACCAAGGATTGGGGAATAGGCCCTGCCCCACATCCTGTCTGCCTTGCCTGGCAGTCTTGCTCTTGGTGCTGTTGATGGACAAGGGTTGCTGTGGCTGTGTGCTAGTTTTGGCACAAGCAGCCAGACCCCAGCACATGCCCTGACATCAGTGTAAGCAGGATGGGGAGGTTGGGGGCTGCCCCAGCTCCTCCTGGCTTTGGCTGACCCATGGTGTCTCCCCAGGGCCCTCTACACATACGAGGATGGCTCTGATGACCTGAAGCTGGCAGCATCAGGAGGTAAGGTCCTCTGCCGGCTCGCCGGTGCTGGTGTTTTCCCTGTCACCCCTTCCTGGTGCTGGGTGCTCATGGGCTGACGGTGCTGTGCCAGGTGGAGGTTTGCTGGAACTTTCTGGCCACTTTGAGATTCAGAAGGTGATGTATGGCTTCTGCAGCGTCAAGGACCCCCAGGCCGTGCTCCCCAAATATGTCCTCGTCAACTGGGTGAGTCTGGGGGCCATGCTGAGGGGGGCTGTGCTGTGCCCACAGGGATGTGGTTGGGTGTGAGGGAGCTGGCAGTGGCCAGGGGCTGTGGGTGCCCCACAGTCCTGCTGCCCAGCTGACATCAGTGGGGTGGGGGTCATCCTGCTGCCTCTCTCAGCTCAGTCCCTCCCTGGCTGCCACAGGTGGGTGAGGACGTGCCGGACGCCCGCAAATGCGCCTGTGCCAGCCACGTAGCCAAGATTGCCGAGTTCTTCCAGGTGCGTGACACTGGGGACGGGGAAGATGTTGCCAGGGCACTGATGCTGAACCCTGACGGCTGCTTGCACCCCCACAGGGTGTGGATGTCATTGTCAATGCCAGCAGCGTGGAGGACATTGACCCCGGGGCCATCGGGCAGCGGCTCTCCAACGGGCTGGCCCGTGTCTCCAGCCCGGTGCTGCACCGCCTGCGGCTGCGCGAGGACGAGAACGCCGAGCCCGTGGTAACGTCCCCATGGCAGCCTGGGGATGCTGGCAGGGCTCCTGTGTGCCGCAGCCCCTCACCCGTGTGCCCCTTACTGTTACCCACCTCGCTGATCCCAGCCTCTCCACCCCTCACCTCTCCTCCGTCCCAGGGCACCACCTACCAGAAAACCGACGCCACCGTGGAGATGAAGCGGCTCAACCGGGAGCAGTTCTGGGAACAGGCCAAGGTGGGTTACGGAGGGACACCCCAGGGAACGGGGTGAGCTGCTGGCTGATGGGCAGCCCCCTCACTGATCCCCCCCACACCAGAAAGAGGAGGAATTGCGTAAGGAGGAAGAGCGGAAAAAGGCGCTGGATGCCCGGCTGCGGTTCGAGCAGGAGCGGATGGAGCAGGAGCGGCTGGAGCAGGAGGAGCGGGAACGGCGCTACCGGGAGCGCGAGGAGCAGATCGAGGAGCACAGGCACGGCTGGGGTCGGGTGGGATGTGGGTACAGGTGCTGTGAGCGGCTGGGTGGGCACATGGGTGTCCTTGGCAGGGTGGGGTTGGGGCAGGGACTGGCAGGAGCCGATGCCCAGCGCCTTTCCCGTTTCCCCACTGCAGGAGGAAGCAGCAGAGCTTGGAGGCGGAGGAGGCCCGGCAGCGCCTGAAGGAGCAGTCCATCTTTGTGAGTGCCACGGTGGGACTGGTGCCAGGATCAGAGCCAGGCCTGCCCCTGGCATTACCTCCAGGGAAGGGCTTTTCCCAGCTGGGTGCCCGGGGCTGGGGGGTGATGCTGTGTCTCTTCCCAGGGGGACCAGCAAGAGGAGGACGACAGGCAGCAGTTTAGGAAATCGGAGTCAGAGGTGGAGGTGAGTGTGGTGATGGCCGTGCCCGGGGCTGGTCCTCACTCCCCAAGCAGCAGTGCCCACAGCTAGATGGGAATGGAGCTGTGGGATGCATGGAAGGTGGTCCCACAGCCCCACACCCCCGGGGTGGTGGGGCTCAGCCTCCCCCGTCCCCACAGGAGGCTGCTGCCATCATCGCTCAGCGGCCTGACAACCCCCGGGACTTCTTCAAGCAGCAGGAGCGGGTGGCATCGGGCAGCAGCGATGCTGTCTCACCAGGCAGCCACAGGACAGGTGAGGGGCTGTGGGGGGCTCTGGGCACAGGGGTGGGCACCAGGACACCAGGGCACAGGTGAGTGCAGTGTCACAGCTCAAAGGATTGCAGTGGGATATGGAAAGACCGGGGATGCAATGTGGGGAGGGGGTGTACCCTCTGCCATCTCTGGCACTGTGGTTCTGGGTGCCAAGGGCATGAGGATGGCAGGGGACGTCCTGCTCTGCTGTGCCACCATCACTGCCACCATCACCGCCGCTGCCACTGCACCTCACGTGGCCCCTGCAGCTGGGGCAGCTTGTCAGGGGCTGGATGTCAGGTTGTCTTCAGCAAAACGGGGCTCACCCTGCTCCCTGCTGGTGCTGTCCACTCACCTGTCACAGCACTGTGCCCGCAGCCAAGCTGGAAGCGTGGCTGGTGCATACAGGTGGGCAGCTGGAGGTCCAGGGATGGCTTGGGAATACATCCCATGGTGACAGCTAAAAGGGGCAGGAGAGAGTGAGGCACATGTGGGGCACTCAGCATGCTGCCAAGGAATGCCTCATGGAGAAGCTGGGCTGCCCCACAGCCTGGGGTCCAGTGCTGGGACTCTTTTTGTGAGTCTCGGGAAGGACTGGTGGGTGTCTCCAGCCATGGGGCCGTGTCATGGTGCTGTGCTGGGGGGCTGTGCTGTGAGCTGTGCTGGGAGGGAGCCTGTGACCTGTGTTCTTGTGTGGTGTGCCATGGGTTGTGCCATGGGCTGTGCCGTGGGGATGTGCTGTGGGGGTGTGCCGTGGTGCTGTGCCTCGGGGCAGTGCTGTGGGCTGTGTGTTCTGGCCGTGCCGTGGGTTGTGCCACGGATTCACGCTGTGGGGCTGTGCTGTGGCTGAGCAGATAGTTGGTCCCACAGCCGTGTCCTGGCCTCTCTCCCCACCTGGCCAGGCAGTGCTGCCTCACGTCCTTCTGTCCTGCTGCCTTTCCATCCTCTTGTCCTGCCATTCTCCCACCATGCTGCCTTCCACCCTGCTGTGCTCCCATCCCGGTGCCCTGGTGCTCCAGCCCTGCCACGACTGCGCTGAGCAGGGACTGACCCATCTCTTTGCTCTCTCTCTCTCTCCGTCCGTCCGTCTGTCTGTCTGTCTTTCTCTCACAGGTCGTCTGCACTGTCCTTTCATAAAGACAGCTGACAGTGGGCCACCTTCTTCCTCCTCCTCCTCCTCCTCCCCCCCACGGACCCCCTTCCCCTATATCTCCTGCCACCGCACTCCAAATCTCTCCTCTTTCTTCCCATGTAGGTAGCTGGGAGCTCCTGGGCGCAGCTCCGGGGGTCGAGCCATGGGCAGCTGCCCCACAGCCCACCCAGCCCCACGGCACACCGGACCACCAGCGGAGGCAGCACGGGCACCCCGAGGGGGACGGGCACTCAGGGGGGACCGTGCCCCTGCTGGGGCTGACCCTGTGCTGGTCCCTGTGCCCCTGGGAGGGGGGACATAGGGCAGGCTGTGCCCATGGGTCAGATGGGGACAGGGTAGAGCTGTGCCTGGGGAGGTGATGGTCCACAGAGGGATGGGATAAACTGTGCCCATGGGGTAGAGCGGGCACAGGGCAGGCTCTGCCCGTGGGGCAGCAGTGGAGAGGACAGCTGTGCCCTGGATCATGCAGGACTGTGCCCGGGGAGCAGGGTCAGGCAGCGTGGAAAATGCTCTGCCAGAATCACGTGCTGATGGGGCAGAAGGGAAAGGGACATCTCTGCTGCCCTGGACCATGCAGGTCTGCCCGTGGGGCAGCATTAGGCAGTGTGGAAAAGGCTGTGCCCAGGATCATGTGAGGCTGTGCCAGTGGGGCAGAAGGGGATGGAACAGCTGTGCCATGGACAAGACTGCAAGACTGTCCACAAAACAGTGTGGAATGGAAAAGGCTGTGCCCAGAATGTGTGGGGCTGTGCCAATGGGGCAGAAGGGGCCAGGTTGTTCCTGGGGCCATGTAGGGCTGTGCCCCCACAGACACAACTGACAGGGCATGGAGCTGTGCCCACAAAGTCTGTGCCAGGGCACAGCTGAGTGACGCGTGGGCAGAGCCAGTGTGCACCACAGCAGGTGTGGGGCTGCCTGTCCCCTTGCCCAGCAGATGTGGGGGGCTGAAACTCATGGGCGGTGCTGGGGACACCTGGAAGGGACACGGTGGTTGCTGCACCCATGGAAGCCTCCACCCCACCGCCAGGAGGGGACGAGGTGGTGGCAGGCACACAGCGATGTGCCCTTGGCAGCGCACAGCTGCCTCGGTGCGGGGCAGGAGCAGTGTGGGGTTCTGGTGCCCCCCTCAGTGTGGGCAGCCCCCCCACGCCACCGCCTCTCCCTTGTCTGCAGGCAGCCAGTCGGACGCCTTCCGCAAGGCCTCGGCAGCGGGCTGCAGCCCCTGCGAGCCCAGCCCGGCCGCCACGCCGCTGGGCACCCCGGGCACCCCGGGCACCCCGGGCACCCGCGCGCCCGCGGACCAGACGCCGGCAACGCCCAAAGGTGGGCGCAGGGCTGGCGCTGCCTCCCCCTGCCCAGGGCTGCCGGGTGCATCCCCAGTGCAGCCCCTGGGCTCTGCTGCAGCCGCGCTTGCATGGCTCGGTGCATCCGTGCTGTCCCATCCGCATCCCTCGGCGTATCCCGCCTGCCTGAGCTGTGTCCCACAGCGCATCCCTGCTGCAGCCCCCCCGGCTGTGCTGCAGCCCCCTCAGCTGCCCTTGCATGGCTCAGTGCATCCGCGCTGCCCCGTGTGCATCCCTCGGCGTATCCTGCCTGCCTGTGCTGCGTCCCCCAGCACATCCCCGCCGCACCTGCTGCTCCGTGCCGCTGCATCCCCGCCATCTCTGCTGCATCCCCCAGTGCAGCCCCACCGTCATTGCTGTACCCCTGCCACCTCCAGTGCATTTTCTAATGCCAGTGCATCCCTGCTGTCTCTGCTGCACCCCACGCCATGCATCCCCCATCTCCAGTGCAATTCCCCGGCTCCGTACCTGCCGACCCTTCCTGCTGCACCCCCCAGTGCAGCCCTGCTGTCTCTGCTGGGGCCCCCAGTGCGATGCTGCCCAATCTGCGCCGTCCTGCTGCACGTCCTTTCCAGGGCTGCTGAATCCCTCTGTATGTCCCCTCTGCCCCACTGTGTCCCCAGGGCACCCCAGCCAGCTCTGCTGCTGTCACCGTGTGTCCCTGCTGCGTCCCCACTGGCGCCTTGGCGTCCTCTGGTGCTTTGGCATCCCAGCTTTTCCTTCTGCATCTTCTCAGGGCACCTCTCCCGTTCCCTCCACAGCCCTTTCTGCCTCCCTGCCACTCCCCAGGGGATCACCTTGTCCCTCCCTATGTCCCCTCACTCCCCAGTGCATGCCACAATCCCCTCCCTGCCCAGCCACCCCCACCCATCCTTGCAGCATTCCCCATACTGTGCCCAGTCCAAAGGGCTCCAAATCCCCCTGAGCTGCATCCCTGTCCCCGGGTGACCCCCAGCCCTGGATGAGGTTGTCTGTCCCCACTGACTCCTGTCCCCTCCTTTCAGAGTCCCCCAGCCCCAGCGCACAGGAGCCCGGGCCAGCCACGCCCGAGCAGCACTGGCCCTTCCCGGGGCCCGAGGACAAGGCCATCGAGCCCCCTGGGGACGAGCCCAGTCCCAGGCCAGTGTGGACAGCGGGGGGTGATGCCCTGGGGGACCTGGTGACCCTGGAGCCCACCGAGCCCTCCCTGCCACCCGTGGCTGACGAGCCCCAAACTGGGGAAGCCCCCAACCCTGAGAGCCTCATCGACCTGTGGCAGAGCGACGGGGTGACTCCCCCAGCTGCCTGGCCCCTGCCTGCTGCCCCTGTCCCCGAGACACCTCCGGCCATGCTGCCTGAGGAGGGGGCCCTGCTAAGCCTGGATGAGCTGCCTGAGCCCCCTGCCACCTTCTGCGATGCGGAGCAGGAGGATGAGGATGAGGAAGAGGCAGCTGGCGAGGGGGACCCCCAGTCCCAGGATCTGGGCTGCCAGCACACGCCCCAGGAAGACACCCCGGGCCGAGAGACGCCCCCCATCACCAATGGGGAGATGGCCCCCAAGGATGGGACACCGGGTCGTGGGGAGCAGGTGAGCATCACTTGTGGGGAGAGGTCAGGGGGTGATGGGGGGCTCGGGGGTCCTGACAACCTGCCCCCACCCCCCAGGCCAGCGAGGGCTACTTCAGCCAGTCCCAGGAGGAGGAGGTGCCCCCCACCGAGGAGCTGTCGGCCAAAGCCCCCCAGCCCGTCTTCTACAACAAGCCCCCAGGTGAGTGAGGACAGTGAGGAGGGGGAGTCTGTCCCTCTCTGGGGCACCCCAAGCCATCCTGACCCCTCTCCCTGTCCTCCAGAGATCGACATCACGTGCTGGGATGCAGACCCTCTGCCCGAGGAAGAGGAGAGCTTTGGGGGGGCCCTGTAAGCGCAGGCCCCGCTGCCGGCACAGGCAGCCCGCCCCGGCCGGCGCGGGGCACGAGGGGGCTGCAGCCGGGGGCCGGGCCCCCCTCGCCCCTCTGGGGCCCCGCAGGATGAGGCCTCCAGGTGGCGGCCGCCCCGCTGCAGCCCCGCCCCGGGGCACCTTTTACAGCCCCCCCTTCTCCTCCTCTCTTTTTTAAGTTGTCGGTAGGAGCCGTGTCAGCCCCGATATCCCAGCGCCCCCTTGGGGAGGACGACACACGCTCGCATCCCCTGCCCGGCTGTGGGACAGGGTCCTCGTTCTCTTCGTGCCCCCCCGGGAGCCCCCCCAGTACTTTGCACGAGTTCAAAGAAAAAAAAAGGAATAATATTAATAATAATAATAAATGAATATGGCAATAAAGTGACCCGACCGAGGCAAGGCTGCAGCCAGCGGCGTCCCCCCACCCAAACCCCGGCAGGGAGCTGATGTGGGGGCTTTTACCCCTTCCCCACTCCTTCTTTGCTGGGAGCCCTGTCCTCCCCTGCTTGGCCCCTGCTTGGCCCCTCTCCCCCCATTCCCCCCGGAAACTTTTTGGAAAGCACAAGTTCTGTACCGGCGGTGTGCTCATGTCTGTTAATAAATAAAGCGTCTCCCACGGGGGCTGCAGCCTGCTGGGGCGGCAGGGAGGGCTGGGACTGGGGGGCTACGGCTGCCTTGGGGAGGGGGCGGTCCCACCATGCCAGCCCGCCAGGAGGCAAACCCGAGCCACAAACTTTTATTCTCAAACTGTAACAAACAAAAAATTTAAGAAACAGAGCAGAGTCCGGGTCCCCAGCGCCCCCGGCCATGGTGGGGCCGGCGGGGGCCAGACGGGGAACCAGCCCCTTCCGCGCCGGCGGCGATGGCCCGCGCCGGGGCGGGTGTCCCTGGGGTGACACGAGCAACCGAAACCCCCCCACCCCCCAGGTGCATGGCAAGGTCCGGGCATCCCCCGTGGCCGCCGTTAGACAGCGGTAGTCCTGCCGAAGAGGGGCATGGAGACCGGGAGGTGCCAGGGTCCCGTCTCGTAGGTGTCCCTGCTGCTGAGCTCCGAGTCCGTCCAGCTGGGAAACATGCGTGGGGAGCACTCCTGCTGCAGGTAGAGGTCCGGGCAGGCAGGGCCGGGGCTGGCTGAGCGGGGCAGGTGCAGCGCTGAACCGTAGCCGGCGTCCAGGAAAAGGGGTTTGTAGCTGGGAGGCTGCTCCTGCTTCTCCAGCCGCTCATGGCTCAGGAAAGGGGCGTTGATTTTGCGGTAGAGCCCCCGCGTGTCCATCAGCACCTCGCTGTATGGCGGGGGGGGCTCCGCCATCAGCAGCGCCTCCTCATAGCACGGCGGCTTTGACAGGTCTGACTCTGCAAGGCAAAGCCCCCCCCGGACCCCTGCTGCCGTCAGCGCTGCGCCCCGGCTCTCACGTCGTATCCCCCCCAAAACAGGGGGAGGCACGTGCTCCGGGGATGCGAGAGCCCCTCCCTGCTCCTTACCGTGCCGGCAGCTCCAGGGCCGGGGGGGTGGGATGTGGTGGGGGTGATGATGGTGATGGTGGGGCTCGAGGCGGAGGCGGTGGGGAATGGCGATGCCGGGGGGGCTGCCCCCGTAACCCTCGTAGTGCAGTGGCTCCATCTCCAGCGCGCGCAGGCTCTGCTCCCGCAGCCGCTCCTCCTGCTGCCGCTTCACCCGCCGCCGCAGGTAGCTGCAGAAGCAGCACAGCAGCACGATGAGGCCCCAGATGAGCCAGAAGCCCGCGAAGCAGGTGAGGAAGGTGTAGGTGCCCTGGGACATCACCATCTTGGCAGCCGGCCCCGGGGGGAGGCCCCCGCCTCTCCCTGCCCTCGGGATGGGGGACGGGATGCTCAGGGCGGCGGCAGGGTCAGGGAGGACCCGATGCTGTCAGGGCCGCCGAGGGCATCTCCCCGGGCCGTGCCCGGCGCGTTTCCTCTGGCCCGCGGGCGAGCCTGCCGTCAGGGGTCCGTCCTCGCCATGGAGCTGGGGGGGGCTGGAGCGGGTGGGTCAGGCCTGGGTGCGCCGGGCGGGCGGCGGGGGGACGGGGCTGCCGGGGTCCCGCTGCCCATCGCTGGGGGGGGACCGCCGGGGTGGGGGCCCTGCAACGAGACAGACGCGAGCGTGAGCGACACGGAAACGTGGACGCCCCGTTCCCATGGTGACTCGCTCCACATGCGCCGCAGCGCCCGCAGCCAGGGGGAACCGTGCCTGGCACCCCATGCACCCCCCCCCCACCATCACCCCCGTGGATGCAAGCCTGCGCAGCCCCCCTAGAATCGCCCGCGGAGCTGCTGGGCACCCTGGGGTGGGAGACGGATGCCGTGGTACCACAGCATCATCTGAAAATCATGGGGTGCCCAGTGGGATCCCCTTCTCCTGCCCACCCGGTGCACCCTAAATCGGCTGCTGAGGCCAGGCAGCTCATCCCTGTGCTGCCACACAGGGGGGTGACCTGGGGAGAAGCAGGGACAGGCAGAGGTGCCGGCAGCCTGCGGCACGTGGCGCTCGCAGGAGCACGTGCACCGAAGCCATGGCTGGCATCGCAGCCACTGGGGATGGTGGCACCCCAACACAGCAGTGCAGGGCCAGCGGTGGTGGTGATGGGAACCATCACCTTTGCCCATTAGGCAGCGTGACAGCTCGGTCACATCCAGCCAAGCATCAAATGTCAAGGGTGTGTGCCAGGGGCAGGTCTGCTCCTCAGCGAGGGGCGAGCAGCACCCATGGGTGCTCGCAGGCAGGCACGTAAGCACCCGTCAGGATTCTCATTATCGCGGTGTGGGAGAAAACGGGCTCGGCAGCAGGGCGGAGGGTGAGCCTGGAGTGACACAGCCGCGGGCTGGGTGATCGCGGTGACACCATCACTCGCTCGGAGCAGGGCGAAGGGGCGCGGGGTGCTCCATCACCCTGCGGCGCAGGGCCACGCTGCTGGCCAGGGATCGCGGCAGGGCCACCGGGGACGAGGGTGCCGGCGGGGCCGGAGGGCCGAGCCCGGCGGAAGGAAGAAACGATGGGGAAGGAAGGAGCCGGGGGCCCTGACCACGCTCCGGCGGGCAGCGGGGGCTGCTCCATCACGCAGACAAACGCGTGGGCTGAGGCAGCGCCGGGATGTGGGTTTTTGGGGAGGGGGTGCCCTGGCTGAGGCCAGCTCGGTTCGGGCAGCGCTTGCCACATCGGCTGCAACAGGCTTCGCGCCGGCAGCCTGGGCATCCCGGGGAGGAGAGGTACCGTGCGGGAAGGGCCGTGGGTCAGCCCCGGGATGACGGCCGGGGGAACACCGGGAAGCGGTGCAGGGCGGGCTGGCGGCGCCGCGGACCGGGGGCGTTCGCAGCTGGGGCGTGCGGGGGGAGCGGGGCTGCCGAGGACGTGCGGGCTGGGGGAGGAGCGGGGCCGGGCTGGAGACACTCATGCCGGGCGGAGAGAGGAGCGGCCGCCGAGCCGGGCCCCGCCGGTAGCCCCGGGCCTGGGCCCCGCTGCCCGCGTCGCATCCCTGCCCGCTGCCTCCGCGGAGAGGGTGACACCCCGGCGGGGAACCTCCCCGCTCCCCGCGCCGGGCGCGGCACCCCCCGCCGCTCCGCCCCGCCCTCGGCTCGGGGAGGGATCCGCGGGCTCCCCGCACCCCCCGCCCCGGGACCCGCCGCCGCTCGGGGGCTACCGGCTGCGCACCGGTGCTGCCGAGGGAATCCCCCCCCTGGGGAACGGCGGGATGCCGGTGGCGAGAGGGCCAGGGCATCACCGGGGGTGGCCGCGGGAGCCCCACGGGGTGGGGGCCGGGGATTCCCAGGTAGCGGCTCCCGGTGCGGGTGGGGTGATGCCCGGTGGGGTGGTGCCACAGGCTCCCGCGGTCGGTAGCCCTGCACTCGCCCTGGAGGTGCTGCCACCCGTTTCCGCAATGCCATCCCCAGCCTCCTCAAGGGGTGACAGCGGCGAGCTCCCCGGGGTGACGGCCAGCACAGGGCCACGGGCAGGGGAGGGCAGCACAGCCCCTGCCACAGCCCCCCTGGCCACTGCAGTGAGATGCGTGGCTCTGCAGGGCAGGGGCGCCAGCCTGGCCCCCAGAACAGCGAGGGACCGAAATGGCACGGGATGTCCTGGGGTCACCCTGCTCCCTTGGGTGCCATACCCCCAAGCAGACCCCTCGCTAGCCTGGCCTGGGCAATTGTCCCTGAGCTAGGGCTCCCCCAGCCATTGCCATCGGGGGGTTGTCACCAGCTCTTCTCTGCTGTAACTGAGGCCGGTGGTCGTGGCCCCCACGGGACACTCCTCTGGCTCCTTTGGACTGCACCGAGCTTGGGGTCAAGTCCCCGCCGTCCCTTCGCTGCGCCCTGGGGCCGTGCCAGGAGCGGGGCAGAGTGGCTTTGGGGCGGAGATGTGCCAGATGCGGGTGGGCGATGGGTGTGGGTGCCCCACGCGGGCCGTGACCCCGCGGCCGTTTCCTGCCCGTGGGCAGGGTGGCAGGCGCCCGCTGCGGCTGCACACACGGCGCATTGTTCTGCCGGGGGCCGGCCGGAAGGACTTCCTCCATCCCGGCCAGGGGATGCACGACCTGGGCAGTCCGGCTGCTGGCAGCCCGCTCCCACCACAGCTGGGCACGGCGGCTCCGGTGTCCGGCCAGCCCGACCACCCCGCTCCAGCGGGGCCGCAGTGGCCGCGGGTCCCCGGCCCCCTTGGCTCCGGCCCCGACTCACCTTGCTGGAAGTCGCCTCCTGCGATCCGACCTCACAGCGCGGCCACGGCAGCCGGGCTCTGCCGGCTCGGTGCTTGTGGGGGTGCCCCAGCAGCACCCAGGGCGGGCAGGGGGCTGCGGCCATGCGGGGGGGCCGGGGTGGTCCCTTGAGGCATGGGGACCGCAGGGACGGGGGGCACGGTGGGGCCCACGGGCATCGTCAGGTCAGGGCAAGGGCGGGCGAAGGGAGCCAGGCCTCCGGCCCCGCCAGCGCCGGGGGCCGGGAGCTGCCTTCCCCTTCCCCTTCTCCCCACGGCAGCGGGGGGAGGCAGGCGGGGGAGCGCTCCCCGAGCCACATGGTGGGCTGGAGGAGGAGCCGTTGCCCAGGCAACAGCTGAGAGCATCCTTCACCCCTGAAAATGGTTTGCGGAGCTGCTGCCACAGCCCCACAGCGCGGGGCACTGCTCAGGACCCCCACAGGTCGCCTGTGTCCCTAGGGTTCACATCCACCCACTCCAGCTCTGGACACACACCAGCATCCCCTCACCTGCAGGCTGCTACCCCCCCATCAAGGGCAGGGATGGGAGACACCCCCCAAATGCTGGGGCACCGCTGGGCAGGTGGAAACAGGCAGAGCCAGTTCCCTGCCCTGCTCGGGGGGGCTCTGTTCACACCCCAGCTCTGCCCCAGAGCCACCCTGAACATGTGACAGACACACGAACAGGCTGGTGACCCCAAGACCCTGGTGCCAGGGTGCCATGACCCAGGCAGTGGCAGGAGGGCAGCACAGGCATCCTGCCTGGTGCCTTTGGAACAGCAATGCCCAAGCAGTCCCCATCCCCCCGCCTGCCTTCCTTCCTTCCACGGCTGCAGAAAATGCCTGGATTTTACCCCAAGATGCCCCCTCCGAGTGTGAGAACTCCTCCTCGGCCCGCTCCCATAGCAACTGTTCCCTAGCTACCCAGCCGCACTTGCTATTCTCATCCCAGTGCAGCTGCGTGCGGCCCCCCCGCGCTGTGCGCCAGGCTGTCACCGCTGCCGCCGGCCCCGGACCCCAAACCCACCCTGGGCCCCCACCAGCCTGCCCCCCTTTGACTGCTTCACCCTTGGTGACCGTCGTGACCCTCACCCCGTGTCACCACGCACGGTCTCCCCTTGGAGAGGCTGTTCTTTGGGCTAAGGAGCAGCACTCTGTGCTGCCATAAGGTTCCCATTCGTGGAGGCCCCCCTGAAGTAGTAATTCACCGTGACCAGAGGGCAGCAGGACTCTGTCCTGGCCTCACAGCACACCTGGGACAGCCCAGGAGGGGCTGTGCTGGGGATGGACATGGCCCAGAGGGGAGCACAGCATCCCAACAGCACAAGCCTCATACCTGTCGTGCCCTGACACTGACTCTCATACCTGTCGTGCCCTGACACTGACTGAAAATATGCAGCAAAGACACTTGGGGTCATCTGTGATACTCAGGGCTCAGCCAGCATCACCCTTTTTGCCCTGGAGAGCAACCCCAGCCCTTCCCTGCAGGTCAGGAGCACCAGCAGAGCCCATGGCAGCCCAGAAATGAGGTCCTCACTCCCCTTCTTACAGCCACCAACCCAGAGCAAGCCCCCCATGACATGAGAGCAACACAAGGCACAGCAAATATTTACACTTAACAAAAGGTTAAAAATTTAAATACTCTCCAACTTTAGTGCAAGGCAAGCAAATGATACCACAGGTCCAAGTAGGTGCTCAGCCCCCCTGGGGGGCCTGGCTCAGAATGAGCAGAGGCAGCAGCACACGCACACACGTGTGCACACACACACACACACACAGAAGGGACAAGTTATTGCTCAGGACACAGCTGGGACAGGTGTACACAAGAGGGGACAGGACAAGCTGAATGGAGGTGGGCTGATCCCCACGCTGCTCCCCACAGAGGGCTCTTGCCCGTGGGTGCAGGAGCTGTGCTGGCTCCCCAGAACTCCTGGGGACACACACTAAGCTGGTCCCAGCTCACTTTTGGGTCACAGCTTCACATGAACCCCAGGAAGGAACATTCCCTTTATCACAGCTTTGCTCCCCGAGAGCAGGGTCCTTCATGTGTCTGCTCCTCCACCACTGAGCTGGGCCTGGGGACGGCCACGCCTCTGGAATGCACAGGTCCAGAGCTGGTGCAACTCCACTCTGCAGTGTGCCAGGATCAGACCAACCCTTTGGCCACAGCAGCAGCAGGTGCCCACAGTGGCTGTGTCCAGCTGTGCCAGCGGTCTGCAGAGGGGCTCGGGATCAGCTCACTGGAGCTGGCAGCACGTGTGAGACGAGGCAGGAGGCAGCAGGCTCCAGCAGACAGGGACACGAGGACAAGGCAGTGACGCTCTGCTGCCGGGACGCGATGGCACAGCACTTTCCTGTGCCTCGGGGCTGAGCAATGGACTCCGCTGGAGCCAGGACACCTCAGCACGGCCAGAAAGGTCCAGGAAAGATGATTTAGACACCTCAAGGCACAGAAGGCCTCTGTCCAGGACTCCCTGGAACAAAGCTGGGAACGTCACTCCTCCCATAGGAGGACATTTGTGCCTGTGACAGGGTGGGGGCAGTGCAGGCCCCCACCCATAGACTAAAAACCAACATGTGATATGTACAGACCGACATATATAAATATACATCAAACCTGCGGTGCCGCTTCGGCACCGTGGAATGTGTCAGCAGAGCTGCT